AGCGGAGGCTGAGCCAGCGCCGTTCCCGCCGTGCGAGCTCCGTGCCCCGGGGAGGGGCCGGTCGGTGACAGACGGCACCCGGTTGGCAGGTTCCCTCAGAAAGGGAGAGAAAACGCGGTTACGCTCGGAATCACAGAGTCGTTACGGTTGGAACAGACTTCTAAGATCATCAAGCCCAACCGTCAGCCCACCACCACCACCGTGCCCGCTAAACCCTGCCCCGAAGTGCCGCATCTGCATGTTTTTTGAGCACCTCCAGGGCTGGTGACTCCACCACCTCCCTGGGGCAGCCTGTGCCAGGGCTTGACAGCCCTTTCAGTAAAGAAGCTTGCCCTGATGTCCAGTCTAAACCTCCCTTGGCATAACGTGAGGCCACTCGGAGGAGGGTCTGAGTAGGTTCTGAGGAAACATGGTGGTTCTACGTGGAGTTCTTGGGACAGCATCTGAGGCTCAGTAAACAGGCAAGAGTGTCTTGTGAGACTCAAGGATGTGGCAGGGGTTAAGTGTTATGTTTGGAAGTTTCTAGTTTTGTTTGTGATTTCTTTGTGTGAGCCACCTGCTCCCAGCTTTAGGGAGTCTTCTGGTACAAAACAATCATAGAAAAACTGTATTTAAGCACATCAAAAAGTGATGTTAGTTATTTTTTTCTGCTAAGGACCCTTCTAAATACTTTGCTTACGAACAGTTTTCATGTTAATAAACTGGTGCGCTTTTCTAAATGTATTTCTGTGTGTATATTGAAGTTAAATGTTCTCCAAAGTAAAATGTTTTCCAGGGTTTACCTTAAGGTACTGTTAGAGCTGTTGCTTCTGACTAGAATAGAAAGCTCTTAATATGTTTCAGTAATTTTAAAAAATAGGAAAAAATGTCCATATCCATTTTTGTGCTAGTACTGTGACTATAGCAAGTATTGGAACAGCGACAGGATTCAGGTTTTTGGGAAAATGCGGAGACAGTAGTCAGTGTAGAAGCTATTTCAGGCTTGGACATCAGGAGTAAAGATGTTTTGTGCCGCAGGGTTACTTAGGTTACTTGTAACTGTACTGTACTTGTAATTGCAGAAGCAGTTGCGTTCCTAAACTGAGTGTGTTTTCCTGTGACAAGCCAGGAGATGAAAGATTATGGAGGAGTTGGGTTTTTTTTTTTCATGTGGATGTTGGTTTTGAAATATTAAACGGATTAGTTACTTGCAGTTAACTCTGGCTTTAGAGGACCTGGAAGAGGGAACGGTCTTGCTGGCTGTCTTGCAGTACCGATCTACCATTGCTCAAGTAATTTTCAGCTCAGTGTTGAGGGTGTCTTTGTTATTAGTGCTTGGGGAGGGCATTGGCTTCCTGCTGGCTTTTCTCTTTTGTTGCTGCCTTTCAGATGGGACACCCGGGCATGCCACATTATCCTCCCATGGGGATGCACCCCATGGGTCAGAGACCACCAAATATGCCGCCAGTTCCACACGGTATGATGCCTCAGATGATGCCCCCCATGGGAGGACCCCCGATGGGGCAGGTAAGGCGCTTTCACAAGATTATTTTTTTCTTTTTCTTCCCATCGTGATGTCAGGCAATCCCTGAGGTAGGTAAGTCTCATACGGTAGCTTGCACATGGTGAGGTTAATAATTTGGGGGGTTTTATGCCACAGTTCTTACCTATGCAGAAGCTCTTCTCATTTGTAACAGGTAATTGATGCACCTCATGTGTAAGTTTAATTATAAATAGCCGTAGGTATGACTCTGTAATTTGTTTTTTATTAAAGCTTTTTGGTAGTTTTCTTTAGATTTTGAAGATGTAAGGTTGTCTTACTAATACATACTAGAAACATAAAGTAGTTGGTTTTTTCAGAGGTAGTCATGGGAGGGAACTTCATGTTTCTTGAATTCCTGGCTAACTCTTAGGTCTACACAGGTGATGGTTATAGGGAGGTGGGAGGGAAGACACAATTACATTTTAAATTTTTGTAGGATTCCTTGTTGAATCCTAGGGAGCAGTTTGTAATTCTGTGTATGTAGAGTTGGTGCCTGTGTCATGGGATTGAAAAATAAACCTGGCCATTCAGACTGGCCGGTGTGAAGCCGGGTTGACAGGTTGCCTACTCAGAATTGTAGCCATGCTTTTGCAAATCTGAAGCTTTTAGTTTAAATGATCAAAGGTCCTTTCCTGTGTGGTTCTGATTAAAATCTGGAGTCCTTATAGAAACAATTCTGGTTCTGGATATAGTAAATACTCTAGTGATGCTACTTGTGATGGTTTGCCTAAGTAGAAACTCGATGTCACTGACTAGGCCAGAAGTATAGAGTAAACCAGAGCAGACAGAGGATGGCAAGAAAGACTAACCCTTTGAGAACAGCCCACGAGGTTGTGCTGGCAAGTCAGTGTCTTCTTTGCAGTACTTTGGATAGGGGGTGGTTTTGTTGTTGTGGGGTTTTTTTAATTATTATTTTTATTTTTTGTTTTAAATGTTGTATAAGGGCTTGGTAGGAATCTCTTCAGCGTGGTTTGGCAGCCTGCTAGAACTTCTGGTGTAAAAATAATGCAGTTGTAAAAGATGGGGAGGATTTGACCATTAGCATGATGGCTAATAGTGTGTGCTTTAGTTCATTAGGAGCTTGAATAGCAATTCTAGTTTGTTCTTCTAGTTAACGGCTCCTTAGTAGCTTCTGTTCCACTGTTCTCACTCACATAAGTTGAGTATTTCAATCTTTAATATTTTAGTGAGCACTATAAAGAACTCAGGACTTTTTGGTAGATAGAGCAAAAAGCTAAGGATAAGTGGCGTGGCAGAGGGGAGATGGGAGGCTCAGTTACCTTCAGCCTTGAGGAGGGGACAGGACAGTGCTGCTCTCACACCGGAACGGTTGTGCTGCAAGTACCAGCCCACGTTGGCTTGTTTTGCTGAACGCTGAGCTCTTTCTTCCAGCAGAGAGCGGAGGTTTCTTTGTGAGGCTTTGCGGGATGGGAAGTTTTGTAGCTTGTTTTCTCCTTTGCGAGGTGAACCCCTGTAGGACGGGTGACTGCTTTGCATAGATAATAGCAACAGCCTCCTGTCAGCACTGACCAGAGGAAGGCCTTTTGGAAAAGGATTAGCTCTCCTTCCCCATTATTTTTTGTCCCTTTGCTGGCTTGGGGTTGGTGTTACGCAGAAACCAAGTGGTGCGCAGGGTTTCTACAGGGCTTTTAAGAAGTTTCACGCTCTCAGAGCCCCCTTAGTCACAAGTAGCGGTGGGGCAAGAGTGCTTTCTTCTCCTGCTTCTACAGGATGGCGAGGAATAGGAGGGGCCGCCTTCCAGTCTTTCCTTCCTCCCTCACCCTCCCAAGAAAACCTTGTGGATTTGAGGGTGGAGCAGTAGCCCTACCCCATATCCCTCTCTCCGCACACGATGCAAGATGAGGAGAGTGGTAACCTGGTGCTCCCTGAAGATACAGGGGGATGGGGTCACTTGGCCAGCCTGCCAAGGACAATGAAGGTAAAGGGGCGTAACTGGAAGGTCGAAGGGGGTTGCCTTCTCAAAACCTGTTTGGGATGAGTGGCCAAAAGTTCATGTTCGTAATGACCTAATGACCTAAATCATATAACTAATTCATTTTGCCACTTTTTATGGCTTGTTAGTTCTTAAAAGCCAGGATCAGCAAAAATGATGGGAGACAGGCAAGGTATTAAACACTTTTTTTTCTGGTTTTGACATCTTTTCACTTCAGTGATGCGGAACTTCTGCGTAGCTATCCCTTTGAGACTGTCAGCAGAAATGTTTGAGCAAAGCCTAGCTTATCTGAGCAGCAGTTCTGGGGTGGTTTGGTCTCGTTGTACCGCCCAACAAACTCGGCTACAAGTCTAGACTCAAACTTTTCATTTCTGTAGTGTGGTGTGTCCCCATTGCCAAGTTCACGCTGCTACGTGGTTTAATATTATATGTCTATATTATGGGGTTTTTTCCAGACTTGTAAAAAAAAAAGGTTCAGAATTGTTTTAGAACTTTGATGATTAATAGCTCTCTTCATCTTGAAGTTGTTTGCAGAAATTAATTCTTCTAGTGTCCCTGTAAAGTGTTTCTTCCTGTTTGCAGAGGTAAGAAGAAAGGGAGACAGGTTGAAAGTTGTCCAAAACTGTGAGCAGAACTAATCCGAGACTCTGAGTTTACCTTTCCTTGGTTTGGTTTGTTCCGTGTGGCCTTGGAATTTTGTAGAAATCTTTCCCAACCTTTATTTTCCTGCTTTAACGTAGGATTTCAGTCAAAGCTTATTAACAGATCATGCATCATTTGCTGTTGTTGTTTTGTAGTTTAAGTGGTTGTCTTTATTAATATTTCAGACTTTGGAATACAGTAGACATGTTATTCCTAAAGCTGATTTTGGGGGAGTGTAATGAAGGGAATCGGAATTCTACAACCCTATCTCACTTTTTGTTGCCAAGTGCTTAAAAGGGTTTTTTTTTTGGATTAAAAACTAGTACTAGATAATTGCTTTTAAATAAAAACAAAGGGATCTTCATATTTTATGTTTAAAATACCATAAAACATATCTGAAGTGCTTTTTACTTATAGATGCCTGGAATGATGCAGTCAGTAATGCCTGGAATGATGATGTCTCACATGTCCCAAGCTGCTATGCAGCCTACAGTTCCGGTGAGTTTAACTTAACTTTCCTGGTTTTTAAAAGGTCTGTGTGTCAATCACAGCCGTGCTATATGGGTGTGCCTTTGTTTTCTCGAGTGGGGTGATGAAAAAGGTCTTGCTACTCGCAGTGAGGTTTGATATAGCTCTTGGATCTGTAAAAAAACCCAACAAGATTTCTGTGAGAGGTAGAGCTAGTGACACTTGGTGTCCTGTGGATTTTTCATCAGTCTTTAAACTCCTCCCTGTATCTGCATCTACATCTGCCTTTCCCTTTTTTCTGCCTGGATTCTGCTTCCCATAACGCTTCCCACACCCCTGGCTGCCTCCCTTGTCCCTTGCCTGCTTGTAGCTTGGCAGGAACCATTGGGCCCTCTGGCTGTTTGGAGGGAGGGCTAATTGTCTGACCACTGATTTTTTTTTTTTTTCCCTAAAAGTTTCAGAAATTCAACGCGTTTGAGACCTCGAGTAAAGTTTGCTGAAATGGGTAAAAGTATGAAGAAGTTACTTGGGTGGAAATGGCGAGGGAAGAGTTAAGTTATCACAGATGAAGTCTCTCTCTGAAATGGAAAAGGCTGAATTTCTTTAGTATTAACATAATCTTTTCAGGGATGTAAAGTAACTGTAGGGGATCTGCGTAAAACCAGTTCTCTCCACTTTAAATTCAGAGATAAATTACTTTTTATTTTCGTGCCGTGCAGGTACTACACCCTCTTGTCAGAGTTCATCACTGTAGACCTCTGAATTTTTCTGTAGTGCCAAGCACAAAACATTTGCTACTGCTTTTGTGAGTTATTTTAAAAAATAAGTTGATATTCCAGTTGATTTTTTTCATTAAGGGTTTGCTGAAAGAGGTCTTTAGTTCATCTGCTAAGTAGGTTGTCCGTAACCAGATGCGTTGTGTTAAGCAGCCTGTCTGCCCTCTGGAGTAATGGGAGAAAAATCAACAAAGGTACAGAGTTTCTGCAAAATCAGTAGAGAAGGGACTGTTAGGAAAAAGATGTGATGTCACCTTGACACGTGCCAGGTGACTGAGAAGTTGTAGCAGAGAAGGGATGTGAATTATCCTAGTGGTGGAGAAAAGCTTAAATTCAGTGCTTGGGCTTTGTCAGGCACTAGAGAATCTTCCCGTTAGTTACAAGTTTGTTTCTCGCTGCTGGTCTCTCGTTAATGAGATGGGGGGGTGTGTTACAGCCCTGGTGTGACTGAAGTAAAAGTCAGAAACTCCTTAGGCAAATTCTGGGGAGCCGTGCTGCGTTAGTTCCTGTGCTCACGTAGCTGCTGCCCAAGGCACTAAATATTTTAGAAGCTGTCGAGTCGGAAGGAGGTTAGTGATTTTCCTCTGCTTCCCATGCAGGAGCTGTTCTGAATTTCTGACAAGTGATGCTGAAGGAAAATTTTGAAAGAATTTCAGACCTTCAGGGGAAAAAAATAAATAAATATTAAAAGCACTATGGCCAAAAGAGACTTAAAAGGGAAGGGAGGGCTCAGCACTAAAATCAGTCTGATTTTGAGTTTGCTGTATATTTTTACATATTTTGGCAAGAAGGGAGGTAATTTAGTTTTCTAATACCAGATTAGAAATAAATTTGGATTGAATGAAGTCTGTGGGTATGTAGTATTTAGCAGGCAAAGTAGCATGGCAGAGAGCTCCAGCTTTTACTTGTACCCTTAACCCCCTCGGCAGCGGTGGCCGGAGCTCGCGCCTTGGTGTGTGTGTCCGAGAAGGCATTTGTCTGTCACGGCAGCGTTCTCGTCCCTCTGCTGTCACCTGTGTACCACAGCCTGGAAAGCCTTTCAGAAAGAAAAGACTGATTTTACCACTTCCTAATTTAAATTGAGTTGTCAATGAGCAAAAAATCGTGACCTCCTTTGCAGCCGTGATGGTTTGCTTGGTACGCTTCATGCGATCATCGGCTTGTTGTAACTTTGGCTGGCTGATGGAAAACACGTTCTCCAGGTGTAAAATGTAATCCAAAGCTCACGGAGGCCAGCGGGGTGATTACTGTGGTCTTGACTGTTCCGCCCAAGTACGGTGGTCTTTCAGACCCCTCCCGTGCAGGTTCACTGTCTGGTGATCTGCAGAGGTGTTTACTTCCAGAAAGCTGATTTGAACCAGCCTAATTCCTAAAAATTATTATTCCAGTCAGATTAGTGCTCTTACGATAAGTACACAGCAAATTGGAATGGCATTTGGGAAAATTAACATAGGCGGGAGAAAAGGAACGCGTTGGGATTACTTACTGGAGAGGCAGCTGGAACTGTGGCCGTGCCGAAGCGACTGCGAACGCTCGTAGGCACGTGGGCACGCAGAGTGGCTGGAATATTTCATGTGCACAACGCGCTGTGAAGGCCTAAAACTCATTGACGATTCACCTGGTTTAGTCCTGTTGGATAATAGCAAGCCTAGTTGATTCAATGTGATCTCTTGGCTCTTTTTAACAAATCCTGCGTTTTTTATGTGAGGAGCTTTTTGTTAATGAATTTTTTAGGGGAGAGCTGAAGGATAAACCCAAGCAAAAAATGAACCTGCAAGCCTGGAGAAAAAGAAAGGAACTGGAAAAACTCTGTTGGAGTTCTGTTAATCTTTTTCCTTAGTTTGAAAGAGTTTCGAAAAGGCTCCCTGACAGAGGGTTGGTTGTTTGCAAGCAGGTTTGCGAATGCAACACTAATAATTCAGAGGCTTGTGCCACATCATTCTAACAGAGGCCTACTAAGCTGCTCCAGCAGAAATTCAGAATAGCTTTTTTTTCTCCTCCCAACCTGCTCATTTGGGAGATAAAGGTGGGTGTTGGAAAGATGGCAAGGGACCCCCTGCATGGTTTATCGTCTGTGTGGCCTTTTTGAAAAGGATCTCAATGACCCTAATTGCTTATTTAAAGAGGAGGAATAATGAAGTGGGCGATGGGAAGCTGGGAATCCATATTTAAGGCAGCAGAGCGTTGTGCTGCTGAAAGCACTTGTTTGGCTACGTGCTGTATGTATTGATGATTTAACTGCAGTTGCTGAAAATGGTACTGAAATGTCTGTTGGTTGTTTCTACAGCCAGGGGTGAACAGTATGGATGCGCAAGTAGGTAAGTGTGAGCTATTCATTACCCCTTCAAAATACTTCACCAAAATGAGGTGAAGTGTTAAAAAAAAATAAAATTTAAAAAATTACACTTTTCTGTTAAATGTGATTTAGCATTTCAGTAAGACATCTTTGTTGATTCCCAGAAAGTTTTGGGGATTTCTTTCAAACATTGATTAATTAGAATCTTTATATAGAAAAATAAAGCGACCAAACCCTTTTAAAATTGTTTTTTAAATTTTATTTTGTAGGCGTAACACCACCTGGAACTCAGGTACGTGAAAACCAAAATTTTAGAAGATTAATTGCGGTGTGGTGGTGTGCATGCATGGCTTTACAGGTTTAAAAGAAAACCGTGTGTCTGTCTCCTCACATAGAGCTGCTTTGCTGGCTTGACTGTCAGCCTGGTTAAGGCTAATAGCTGAAGTAGGTGTGTGTTGTGTTCCAGCTGCACTGATTCCTGAGCCTTGAGGTCTGTTCTAGTCCTTCTGGTCCGCAGGGCAGCACTATGAGATGTCTCTTGGGATGCTTTTAGCTCTTTCTGCCCTCCCTGAGCAGCAGGTGACTGCTAGCCTAGACGCCTGTTAGTGGAGGGCTGGCTGCTTTCGGGGGTAAACCTTTGCAAGTGCTGGGCTGGACAGTCACCCAGGGTAGAGTTGGGGCTTTTATTTGCGCTGAAGATGGTTTTTTTTTTTCTTTTTTCCTTCCATATGAGTGACCAGTTTAAAAGCAGATTTTTCTTTCACTTGCATTTGGGTAACGTTTTGCCTGTGAGATGTTCACGAGTGTTCTGCTTCGGCAGTTGCAGCACGTAGAGCAGCACTCAGTCGGCAGGGATCCGGTCTTCCTTGCTGTTCCTTAGCGCACCTGCGCTGAGCGGGAGAAGCCAGGCCAAGGTCATGGTGTTCTTCAGTCCCGTGGGATTTACTGGGGCCTTTATCAGCGTTGTCAGCTTACGGAGAGTTTTGTCCCCAAGCACCTCAGCAATAAAAAAAGAATAGCCTGTATAGTTACCTGTAGGAATTCTGAGAACACCGCTCTGTTTTTTGAAGAATATAAAGTACTAACAGCAAAGATGGTTTTCATCAGTTTTGCTGTTTGTTGGTAATTTAGCTGAACTCCCTTCCCCCCACCTCCCACCCCTGCTGTTTCAATGTTATTTGAAATTTGCTTTTGTTTGTGCGAACACGGCCTAATTCAGTAACTTAAATAGGAATAAATAATTACTGAGTAGTCTGTGTGGGAGGGGGTTTAACGTAGGTTGAACTTGCAAACAGGATGGTGGCACACAGGCCAAAATCACTTCGTCGAGTGATTCTCAGTGGTTTTGCACCTTCCTGTCAGATGGGGAACGGCTGACGGGACAGAACTGGTGCTGTATGTCTTAGTAGTGAAATCTTTGAACTGTGGATCAGTGTAACTTTGTATTGAGGTAGGCAGGTCATCTGGAAGTAATCTCAGATTTTAAATTTGTCTTTCATGGCACCGGGAATGACCATGAATAACTTCCAGTCAGATTTCTGTTTAAAATTTTGTAAACTTTAAAGTGCTTCTCTAGAAGAGAGCCCAGACATTTACCTGTAGTTCTTAAGGTGATGAAAGCAAGAGTTCAGCTAGATAACGGAGAGGCAGAATCTGTGAAAATAGTCACGTGGCCTCAACGGTACCCCGTTGTGAGTTTTTGGTTGTTGCTGCAAAATCGGGGGGCTTTGTACCTCGCTTAATTATTAAATATCGGTGAATATCAGTTGCCCTTTTATTTCTGCGAGACCTGCGTTCTGTGTCATTGACCCGGGCAGTTGGCCCTATAAGGAGGTGGTTTCTCCTCCGCCGTATGGTGTAACCGAAATGAAGTCGGTGGCTAAAGCTGCTTTCCGCCCGCCCGGAGTTCGGAGTCTGGATGAAAAAGCAGCAGGAAGGTAGTCCTGAGTTCTCTTGAAGTCAGAATCTTCCTGAGGCAGGTTTTTGTTAGTTTTGAAAACAGGGTGTGCTTTTGTGACTTTCACTTGAGGCTGTTGGGGTGGCATTCACTTTTGATTTCTTTTCTGATGGTAATTGCCTGCCTTGGATTGCTGAAGCGTGCGTGTTTGTGAGAGACTCCTGATAGCTCCTGTCACAAAGGAATGATTTCTTGAAAGCAACATTGACTTAAATGTGTTTAGATTTTGACTTGCTGCCTGTCCTCTGCTGCTGAATTACTTAGTATATTTAATATACACATTCAGATGAAAAACAGATATTAACCAGAATGTCTTTTCAGAGCTCTGTTTTGTTTCGCCCTCAGACAACGCATCCTGTAGTTTGCGCAGCCCAGCAAACCGCCACAACCAACAGTTCTGTTAACGAAGAGCACTCTAAACAGGTTCATCTGCTTTCCACTTGTGTTTAACTTCTTTAGCGGCTTTTGATAGCACCTCAGTAATAAATTATTGTTCGTTGTTAATGGTATATTTGACTTTTTTCCTAGAAATCTACATGGACAGAACACAAATCACCGGATGGAAGAACATACTACTATAATACTGAAACAAAGCAGTCTACGTGGGAGAAGCCAGATGACCTAAAAACACCTGCTGAGGTAAACTAAGTGCAGGTGGAGATGACTGTACTGTGTGAGTTTGTGTGAAGGCAAGACTTTACTGGCATTAGTAGTGCAGCAGGACAGCTCTGCCAATAGATTTATTTTTTTTTCCCCAAACTCTTCAAATAAGAAACGTTACAAAAATGTTTGTATCGCGCTCCTTATGTTGGTGGAACTTGAAGGTGCAAAATGGACAGAACTCTCAACAATTTTCCTCGATTTTTTTCCATAAATTTTCCTTATTAGAAAGATGCCTTTCATTAATATTTAGTTAATGTGTGTGTTTATTGCTAGGGAGGATTTTCTTTGGGAAGTATATGCCTTCAGTTGTTTCTTGGCCTAGTGTTTGTGGCTCGCTTCTAGCTATCCTTTTAATTTTAAAACAGCGTTGTGAGTTTGATTTTTTTTTTTTTTTATGTTTCTGTTTTCTGTCCATTAGCAATTGTTGTCCAAGTGTCCCTGGAAGGAGTATAAATCTGATTCTGGAAAGCCCTACTACTATAATTCCCAAACAAAGGAGTCGCGCTGGGCAAAACCCAAAGAGCTCGAGGATCTTGAAGGTAATGTTAACAGAACTGAGTAGGGAGGGCGCAAGATGTGCGGAGGTGTGACTTTTGGCAGAAATTTGGTATCGAAGCCTAGCGGCCAGCTGGCATTAGAAATTAACTGTGCTGAAAAGCCTTGTGTAGCGGAGCAGCCTTGTCGCCTGCGTCCTCCCCACCTCATCACCGTCCCTTTTTCCAATATCCCCTTAGTTCTTCCTTGGGTGGCAGCAGCATCAGCTCTCCTCGCGTCCCTGGACGGGAACTGGGTCGGAATGTAACACCCAGGGCTGTGTGCCTGCTGCCTCTTGAGCAGTAGGTTCCTTGTAGGGCTCTTGTAGGGTTGGACTCGGCCACCAATCCTTTGGAAACCTGTAGGAGCTTAGTGGGATTCGTGAAGGGGTTCAGGTCGATGGGGGAAGACGAGAGGCAGAGGAGCGGCTGTACTAATCCTCGTTCACTCGGGAAACTGGGCTGAGAGGGTGCTGGACGTCTGTAACAGTACAGCCTGGAACTGAGCAAGAATTACACTTTGGTTTGGTGTCTTGGAAGAGGTTTAAAACAGCCGCGTGTTTTATACCCAAAGCAATAGTGCTGGCTGGCTGCTGAAAGCCAAAGTTGTGTGTGAGGCTTTGCTTAGGTATCTATTTGCTTTTCATTTTTGACACAGATTATTTTGAGATGTGGCAAAAATATTAGTAACTTTTTAAATTGCCCTTCTGCATTATAAAGGCAGTGTCCCCTTGTGTACAAGCGTCCTACGATGCTGTGCTCCTGTGTTTTGCTTTTAGCGCAGTTTTGTTTGGCACTGTAAGGGGGGTAAGATCTTGATGGAAAAAATCTCCAAAATCAGGTGGGGTAAGAAATGAGTACTTAAAGTGCTACAGCAATTAACTGTCAGTGACTGTTGGAATGAAAAGGAGAGATCTGTGTCAGTAAGCCTGACTTTCTGTTCTTCAGCCTTTTAAAGTTGAAATTATTATTTGAAACGATGAAGTCGTTCTTTGTATACCCTAATCTTTCTTTTAATGGGATTTCTAGATTCTGTTTTAGTCTGAATTGATTTCAGGCTTTAAAGGGCACAGATACGAAAATTACTGATAGTAACAAACCCATTTTGTTACTGATAGTAACAAAAACAATTGAAAAGCATTTAAAGCTATGCTTTCATTAAATCCTGTTAACAGTGTCTTTTTACCATGCATATATAAAGTGGTTTTGAAGCTGTATTTTGATTGTGCTTTTCCCCTTTCTCCTCTAGCAATGATTAAAGCTGAAGAAAACAGGTATGTTTTTACTGGTATGCTAATGGTTTTTTATGTTAAGCTGCCTATTTTTTTAAAACTGGTTCTAGTCCTTGAATCTCAAAACATGCTCCTTGTAGCTTTTCATTCCAAATAGTGGCTTAATATATAGAATGTCGTACAATACAGTCTGAGTTTCTTTTTAACTGAAATGATTGACCTACATAGATGCACAGTTTCAGCAAAGCATTTCCTTTCTCTGAGGGGAGTTTGGTTTGTGTTCTTCTGTGACACAGTCTGTGTAACCAGACCTAAACATCTCATTTTGTACTTTATTGACTTACTTAAACTAAACTGACTTAAACTTAGTGGTTCAGGGAACCCCAGTGCTTGTGCATGACCCTTGCTGGTTTTTGATACCTGTAGCACAAAGCCCGAAGAATCAACTCCAGCAACATCCACCCCAGCTGCTGCA